ATAAAAATAATTTAATGATTTTAGCTGAGCGAATGAAAGCAATTACCAAAAACTTCAGACTAGGATTTGGTTCATTCATTGACAAGAGATTGATGCCATTTGTGGATCCTCGTCCAGAGAAGTAAACTTTTTCAGGGTGTTTATGTATCCACAAATGAACGAGCATAGTTCAAAACTAGAAAATCTAAATTATTCTGTTAGTCACCTTTTCCTTGTCTGCCTATTATAGACAATTATCGCCTTGTCCTGAACAATGTGCACAACCTTACGGTTTCAAAAATCAAATGAGTCTTACAATGGATACCGCTAGATTCTCCGTAAGTAGATCTTCAAATGAATTTCTGTTACTTGCTTTTGCTTTAAAATTTTCCAATATTGAAATTGATTGAAAATAATGTGTTCTTATCAAGGACTTGTTTGGATAACTTCTTTCAATAAAGAGATTGCTTGAGCTAGTATACGCAAAAAATTAAGAATTATCTTTTGACTTTCACTTATAATAGATCATTAATAAAATTGATTGCGATTTCAACACCATTTAAAACTCTTAATTATCATATTTTATTTCCTAAAATTATTTGTAATTTAAAAGATTTCTATTTTTTTAGAAAGAAGTGGAAGAGGCTGAAATATCAGGAAATTTAGACGCTCCAGAAGGGGGTTTTGATGCAGTTATGCAAGCTTTGACATGTAATGTTAGTTACTTTTAATTATGCATAATTTATACTTCACTTCATGAGAAAGCCTCTAGCGTTTTGATGCCTTACTTTGGAGTTTACATATTGTATTTTATTTTATATTTTCCATAATATAAAAAAATTTTTGTCTATGTGTTATGGTCTTTAACATATTCAATGCCTTTTTTAGATTCTTTCTTCTCTTTAAATTTATTGCACTCTGAACAAATTATTTTTATTTATTAAAAGCTATGACATTTTTTTTTAAATGAAGATTGGAATTTTATTAAAAGACTCATCTAATTTACGTTTTATGTTTATAAAAAAAGAAATAATGGATACTGAGTCGAGATCTATCTTTCATATTCAAAATTCTCTTTGAAAAATTTTGATGTTATTCTTCTCCATCTTTCCATATTTCAGAACAGCATTGGTTGGCGTGAACGTGCTCGAAAGATGATTGTTTTTTCCACGGATGCTGGTTTTCATTACGCTGGAGATGGACGGGTATATTTTTTGTCGTTATAAATATGACTCTTGTACATCCTAAAGTTTGTTTTTCTGAGAAATTTATTATATTTTAAAGTTTCCAATTTCATTATCGTTTCAGATGGCTGGTGTTGTTATACCAAATGATGGACAGTGCCATTTAGATAATCATGGATACTATACGAAATCGCTCGATCAAGATTATCCTTCGATCGCACTGTTGCATCAAAAAATCAAAGAAAGAAAAGCGAATTTAATTTTTGCTGTTACTGAGAAAAATAAGGATTTGTATAAACAAGTGAGAAAAACTCATTTAGTTTGAATTGCTTAAACTCTTCTTCATTATTTTATCAGCGTACTAACGGTTTCTATTAATCCTTTGATTAAGTTTTCAGCCTCACAAGTATCCTTAATAATGGTAATTGCTATATATAAACAGTTTATATGAACTTTCCTCCGTTTCTTTCTTTGCCAATTAAATCGTGACTTGTTTTCGGTACTCTTTTAATGGCTCATTGTAATTTAAGCTTAGTGATGCCTTACCGGACGTGAGCAGTTCAGTAGGTGTGCTAGCAGATGATTCAAGAAACATTGTTTCTCTTATTGAGGAAGAATACAATAAGATTTCACAGAAAATTATCATGGTAGATAACGCAAATGCAAGTCAGGGTCTAAGGTTATCATATCGATCAAAATGTTTAGAGTAAGTATTTTTGTCGTTCTTGTCAGTTCCACTTTATTAATTGGAACTATTGCTTTGTTAAATTTGCCTATTGATTTTAGTACAGGTTTTCTTCATAATAACACCTCAGTTTACTAATTTCAGTTTTGTTTTTAGTGGGCTTACTCCTAAGGAAACAAACGTATGTGATGGAATAAAAGTAGGTGATGAAGTTTCGTTCGAAGTTACTTTGGAAGCAACACATTGTGTAAAAGCGCGTGATTTCAATTTGAAAATCGGACCAAGTGGTCTTGATGAAACTCTTCAAGTCGATGTTCACGTGCAGTGTGATTGTGATTGCGAAAGTGACGTATGGTTTTTTCTGCTTTGAAATTCAAAAGTTTGTGTCAGAAGATTTCAGTTAAACATACTCATGAAGCACTGAGACGTTAAAATTAAGAAAAAACACTTCTAATCATTTCATCATGCTTGCATTCATGTTATCCACTTCTAATTTTTTAAATATTTTTTTTAACGCTAGATTATTTGAGAGAAAATCAATTTCGATATTTTTACAGAAAGTTATCTATAATTCTCCTATATGCCACCGGAAAGGAGATTTAGTTTGTGGTGTATGTATATGCCATGGGACGAATGTTGGACGACATTGCGAATGTGATGCGCCCGGTCTGTCTACTGTAGCTTTAGATGCAAAATGTAAAAGGTATCATCTTAATTATTTGCAATTTCTGAAATGGTTTGTTTTGCACTTGACTTTTTCAAGTTTCATTTCATGGTATTGTATACTTTTAAACTATCACTTTATTTTCTTTTTCTGAACTCAAAGTATTACTTTAGAACAAATGAAAGCGCAATTTGTGAAGGTCGTGGGGTGTGCAATTGTGGTGTTTGTGAATGTTTCCAACGTGATGTAAGTTTGTACCTCAGACTAAAGATGTGACGTTAATGAATATACTTGTCTTTCATTTTTGTTGACATTAATGACTTTTTTTGCTTTGTAACAAGTACTTTCTTATGATTGACTGGTTGAATGTTTTCTAATACTGGCGTTTTTTGCACTCCTGATTCAAAACATGCTTTTGTGATATATAAAATTAAAAAACCGATTCAATTATCCGATTAGGTTCGCTATTACGTCCATACAGATATATGGACCAGATTGGAGTTTATTTATTTTCAGATTCTTTTTTCATTTGTTAGAAGATAAAAAATGTGATGAAAGAGTCATTTTTATTTCAGAATATCAATGAAAAAATCTCAGGTCGATTTTGTGAATGTGATAATTTCAACTGTCCACGACATGATCGTAAGATATGTGCAGGACATGGGACCTGTGATTGCGGCCAATGTACATGCGAACCTGGATGGACAGGTGATTTAATTTTTAGGATTTTTCTTCATTTGATACTCCAATTTGTGCAAATAAATGTTTTGTTTGAAAATTCCTGTTGTATTTTGTATTTTATTTACTTATTTGTGTTCCTCCCATATCGTTATGTATATTTTTTTATTCTCTACTGTTACAGGTCGAGCATGCGAATGTCCATTGAGCTTGGACAGTTGCATGGCTTCAAACGGTAAAGTATGCAATGGTCAAGGAGAATGCATATGTGGTCGCTGTCGTTGTTTTAGTGACGGACCTGGCAATCGTTATTCTGGTCCCAAGTGCGAGATTTGTCCTGTTAGTTCAAAACATATCTTTTGTTGTTATTCGATTTGATTTTAGATTATTAAGAGCATTATCACTTATCAGTTTTTGTTTCGCTCATTCACAGCAAAACCTATGAATGATTATATACTTCTTTGTCTGGATGATTTGAACATAATAAGTCAAGTAGTTAATTTATTAGTTTTTAGCATAATTTTCTATTATTTAACGTTTCATATATTACATAATATATTTTTGCCTTTGATTACAGTTCAGTAAGAGTGGCAAAAATTTTGTAAAATATTTTTAATCCATATTTTAAGCTTGTGTTTTCCAAAGTTGATTATTCTTATTTTTAGACCTGTCCATCAAAATGTGTCGAACATAAACCATGTGTGATGTGTCAGCAATGGCAGACAGGCCCATATAATGATACTCAGTGTGCAGAATGTGCTTTCACCGTTATACCTGTGAAAGAATTACCAGGTTGTTTGTTTTGTTTTTTAATATGCAGTTTTGGTTAGTAAATCTAATTCTGAAGCGTTAAATGTATAAAAAATGAGATATGTAGGCTACATGTAAATATTACTTGTAATTTCTCATGCTCAGTTTTATTTCATTTTGTGAAGCAGATTAAAATGTTTCAGTATTAAATGATACTACGGAATGTCAGTTCGTCGATCCATCGGATGATTGCACATTTTATTATCTTTATTATGAAGATCAGAGAACTGATAATCTTACCGTATGGGTGAAGGAAGAAAAAGGTATGTGGGAGGTTAAATTCCGTTTTTTAAACTCGTAATCATTAGGCTCATCTATAGGTACTTTTTTACTCTATTCAAGCCATTTTATAATGGTAATTTGGAAACAAAATTATCGTCTCAGCAATTTTTTCATTGGAAGTAGAGTTCGAAATTCTTGTGCACAATTAATATTATAAGTCGATAAAATAATTTTCACTGTTATGAGATTTTTTTTGCAGATTGTCCACCTCCAGTACCAGTTCTTGCTATCGTTTTGGGTGTCATAGCTGGTATTGTTATACTTGGTTTAATTCTGCTTTTGGTTTGGAAGTTGTTAACTGTTTTGCATGATCGCGCTGAGTTTGCCAAATTTGATAGTGAAAGGTTATTGGCAAAATGGGACACTGTATGTTTATTTCTTCTCAAGATTAAATTTGGTCAGTTAGTGTAAGAAGCTTATCAGAGTGCTAGATAAAGTTTACTTTGTTATTGAAAAATTAACGATGCCAAATGCGAAGGGATCTTTGATTTCTAGAATGAAAATCCAATATACAAGCAAGCAACGACGACATTTAAGAATCCGGTGTATATCGGTAGTAATACGATGAAAAACAAATAATAATTGTGGACCATTGTGTCGGAACCTGCGCCTCTATGAATTGTACATTTTCCTTTATAACTGAAATCTACTTTTATATATTTTTTGAGATTTACTTACAGGACGAAATCCAATTTTAAAATCAAGACATGGTCGTTTTTCGTCACTTGTGTCGAAATTGATTTTTAGCTTGTTTTTAAGTCAGTGGTGTGAACTTTTCGTCTTTCATAAATTTTCATTTGCTTACTACAGCTGATCATTGAAAATGGTAAAAAGGACTGCTTTTATAAGTTGTCCGAGGCTTTCATTCTTTGCCAAAAATTTTTTTTTAGTTTACGCCAGTATTTACAACTTTTATTAATCCGATGGCTGGTCAACTTTCTTATGATTTGCCATTATTTATTTTCACTGCCATTCTCATGACTATCATTGAATAATATCATAGTTCGAGCTATAATTATGTTAGTCAAATAGCACTAAAGTACATCTTAAGGCGAGGTATCGTAGCCTACGTCCTGTGGAAGTATAGTGTTATTTATATTTGCATTATTTTTACTGCAGTTTACTAGCATGGAGAAAATGTTTCATGTTATTTTAATCACATCACGCAAATTCTTTGGTGCATTTTGATTTTGAAAAATTTCTTATAACATTGTTTTGAGAGATTGTTTCTTCTGCTATTATTCTTTAAAAAACTCGGACGTAAATTAGCGATTTACACTTCGATTCTGAACTATGTACATGTGCTCTAATATACTAATTGTTTTCACAATTATGGTCTTTTAATTTATATTTATTCGGTTTTGAATAATTGTATGTACAAATGTTGTTTATGCTACTCGAAACATTAATATGATAATTGATTCTTAAATTATGCATGTATGTTTACTTTTTTCCGAGCTTTTACCAGAGATTAATACTTAAAAATAAAAATTGCATTGTTTAATTTGAGACAAATTGTAGAAAAGTTGTTATGCAAATAGCGGGACTTGAACTTATTTAAATTGCATAGAATTCGAATACTGGTTATTACTGTCGACGGAATGGACCTCTCTGATGATGTCTGGAGTGTCATTTTCTGTCATCTAGATGTGAAATCGCGAATCAATGTCTCTTGCATTAGTAAACGATTTAGTAAGAAAAATTAGATCTTGAGCAATCAGTAATGAATTAATTCTATCCATCCTTTCTTTTATTCTCGAATTTGGTCATTTTAATGAATACAAACATGATATTTGATTAAATAACCGAGGTAACCGTTGTGTGCTTGAGGCGCATAGAGATAGGTATTTAATTTCCTGTCAAATAAGTTGAACTAAGTTTTGTAAGTGGCCATCTTGTATTTTTTGATTTGGTTGGCTTATTGTACTGCACAGTAATGGGAAATGGAAATCGGTTTATTGCGTGAAGACAAATATTGTATTGTCTTGTGTCAGGTTCATTATTTTGCTCTTGGCCGGATGTTACGATGCTGTCGATTAAAGATGATAGTTCATGTATTGCTGGCGAAAATTTTAAATGTGCCACAGAATGTGACCTAAACGTACAGTATTTTGTCATTTCGATACACATCAAAATGAAATAGTTTTTAAATTAATATTTCATGAAAATCAAATGAACAGAAAAGTTGTGGTCTACGACACACACAAAATTGCAAATTTGTACTGCTGACAAAGGCATTGAAAAATTACTTGAGTTACTAGAAAAAATACTCAAGTCACTTATAGAGTGGTCAGGCAGTACATTTCTGGAATATATTAGAAATGCTTTGATTCAAATCAAGTTTGCAGTTAATCTTAGAACACTGTCCTAATTTGAATAATATCACAATACAAACGACTCAAAGTGACAGACGCTTACGACAATTGGCGAAAATTGAGCATCTTAACGTTCTCACTTTAACAACTTCCCAGATTAAGTAATACATGTAGTATCTATGCAGCAGATAATAATCTTATTGGTAGATAAATATATGAATATGATCTTTTACAGCAACGATAGTATATTCTGGCACTACATATACATCCTTTTCTTATACATACTCGATTGATCTCTGGAAAATAGTTCTTTAGATTTGAAGTATATTGAAGCAGTTGTGGGGTCGATTATACTGCGCAACAAATAATTTCAGCTCAATTAGTCAGGGATGCTTAGGTGCATTGTGCACGGCAAAATTACGTAAGCTGTGCATATTGCAACGTTATGATGAAATGAAAAGCATGCGTAACGTTTTACGTCGAAATCATATGACGCAAATCAGTTCATCCCCACTAGTTTCTTTGCAACTCAGTGGTATCGTATTAAAACCGGATATATTTAGTAAGCTATGCGAAGCGTTAAAACAAACTCTTCACGAATTGCTTATTTCTGGTACACTCTGTAATCCACCTGATTTGGATCAGTATATCTCAGCGATCGGTAAACATCAATAATTTCTTAAACTCTTGATTAATTTTTCTTACAATACATTAGATATATCCAAAAAATTTGAATTCTTGCTCACTAATTTCTTCAATGATTTCAAGACCAACTGTGAGTTCAGTACAAGTTGAGCATTGTCAATATTATTTGAAATTTATAATTTAGTCTAACTAATAGTATTAAAATTAATGTTTTTGACATCAGTTAGTGCTTGAAGAATTGAATACTCAGTAAACTACTTGAGTACTTAGTAATTGAATACTCAGTAGACAGATTTCAAAGTTTCTGATTAATTACTCACTATACTATTATCTTCGAGCGCTGTATTTATTGAAACTTAAGCTGAACTGAAGCAAACTTGTCAAGTTTGATTGTTGTTTTAGTGCTAAAACCAAGCTTAAACTTTTCAGGAATGCTTAAGCGTCTAAAAGTGCTCGATATTCCACCATCACTTTTTTCTTGTTGTCATCGAAGTTTACCTCCTAAAATGGCTATTCTGAAAAGTTTAATTTTAAAAAAGCTTTCCATTTATGTGCACTACTATAGCGCATCAAATATGGCTGATTTTTTAAATATTTTGCCTAAAACGCTAGAAGATTTGGTATTATTCCGTACCACTGAATTAGACCAAGCAACATGGCTGAAAGATTTTGAAGAAGTAAACTTCAAGGTAATTAATTTCTTTTTTTATAGAAGTAATTTCCTAAAATTTAGATTTATTTGAAGCAAATAGTTTACCGTTTCTTAGCATTAATTTAATAAATTTTTTGTATTGCATGTAATTATTTCCACAATTTACAATGGTATCTAGCTTTGTTGAAGATGAGTTACCAACTGAACTTCTGAAATGCATCAGTAACTACAAGTCATTATGACTTGACTTGTTTTACTCCAGATGATAGAACCATAGATCATATTTTATATTATTCCAAGATTATTTTCGCACTTTTTAGGTCCACCTTTGTCGACTGGACGACATTATTCTCGAACCTTCTTGGATGTGTGATCGATATGAACTTCTCACCCATACGCTTTGGCTACCACCATATAACTTTGCACACAATTTCTCACGAGCTGACCTTCCAGTTAGTCAAGATTGTTTTGGCCGTAAATAATCGATTCTAGTGTAAACTATAAGAGAAGGAAATGCTTGCAAGGCATTGCCGCTTCTCTCTTAAAATAAGTTTTATTTAGGCGGAATGGTATCAGGATGTACTATCTGTGATTAAAGAAGTAGATGAACGCCAGGAACTCATTACAGCTCATCACAATTCCTCTTCCTCTAGTCGATCCGAACGGTTCATTACCGTACCAATAGGGTTCGTCTTCTTTTCCATTTTGGGAATAACATATTTAATGCCCATTTTACTGAGCTTTTAGAATTCTGCACAAACTTGTGCTTCTTAAATTTCAGTAATGTAGACAGCGTAACAGCCCTTAATACTGCTAGTACGCGTACCGCTCTTTCTTTTCGTGACGGTGGTATAGAATGACGTGTGGCATTTTGCATTTGCAAATACGATCACAGTAGAATCGCCCATCAGTAATCCTTTCGAAAGTTGTGATAGTTTAGCATCGATTGGAAAATCCACTGTATAAAAAAACCCTATATACATCTCAATATGGCTGCTCCTTCATCATCCAATTATTATCGCAGATATTATATATTCAAGAGCAAAAAACCGACCGCTGCAAAAGTCATAAGTCTCTAGTTGCTAAAATAAGCACAGCTGACATCTACAAAAGCAATTTTCATTGATATTTTTTTTGTAATCAAAAATAAAACAGTGTACATAAGGGTATTAACATATTTTCTTTTTGAAACGTTTTATTTGATGAAAATCGAAGATCAATGCATTGTGAAAGTCGCAATCAAACATTCATTTCGAAGTAGCACGATTTACAATATGATCAGTGCTAACGATTCATTTTACTACACTTTTGAACATCATACAATATACATCTGAAACCAACTTTGTTCTTCAACGATCAGTTTTAAAGTAAAACACACTCGACCCTTTTTTTACAAACCACAAATAGAGCTTGCATATTCCTGCATACACTCACTACACAGAAACCTAATATTGTTTATAACAATAATAGTAAATTGCTTTCTAATCAAATTGTGAAGTCTAATGTATATTTAACGATACAGATACTCAGCCTGAAGATTAGCTGCCAATTCCGGCTCCCAACGATCACCATTCAACAAAAGTTTCTCTTTGTTGTATAACATTTCTTCATGTGTTTCTGTCACAAATTCAAAATTGGGACCCTGAAAAAATGCAATAATGAAAAAGAAAAAACACCATTAAAATTCAGATCAAACAGAACACTTCCAAATACTTATATGCTAATATGATAGGACATTCGTATGCAATTCTCATAACGCTGAACTCTATTGGATACGAAATACAGTAGTACCAAATTTAAAACGAGAAAGAGAAAAGAGCTAGTGAACCTCTACAATGGCGTCAACTGGACATGCTTCCTGACAATATCCACAATAGATACATTTTGACATATCAATATCATAACGTGTTGTTCGACGACTTCCATCAGGCCTTGCCTCAGCTTCAATAGTTATAGCCTGAATTGACGAAGTTATTCAAAACAATGAATTCAAATTATAATGTATCTGGTGTTACCTTAATGCTTCATGATTTTAAGGTACAACACTCTAACTAGAAAATATACTGTCATCACTATTCTCGGAACTTGCTTACTTTAGAAATTTCATGACGAGAAGACAAAGTATATTTTCATTCTGTTTTGCAAACATGAACTAACCTGTGCTGGACAAATGGCTTCGCAAAGCTTGCATGCTATACATCGTTCCTCTCCGGATGGATAGCGTCGAAGTGCATGCTCACCGCGAAAACGAGAACTTAGAGGCCCTTTTTCGAAAGGATAATTTATTGTTGCTGGCTCCATGAAGTAATGTCCCATAATTATACCCATACCTACAACAAATTATATAAATAGACTGCGAAACTATACATAGTAGTAAATAAATCTTATGAAACGTAAAATACAAATGTTTTTCGAATGTATTCTTTCTTCATCGTACTTCAAATCTTTTCTCAAATTAATCTCTGAAAGAGAACTCTAGAACTGCAAATATCACTGAAATGCAGAGTTTGATATATAAATTAATACTTGTACCTCTAATCAATTCTGTCATGAACATGAAGTGCATGCCTTTTCGAAAGTCACCTAGAAGTGATCCATCAGATTCAGCTGTTTCAGCAACGTATTCTACAAATTAAATAAATGAATACGCCAAATTTCCAGTTTTAACGAACGATCTTTCATCGATTATTTGTAATTTGATTCTAATGTCTAAAAAATTCATTTGATCCAAACTAAAACACTCTATACATAATTCTTGTTTAGATATTTGTAAATTTACATAGGACAGATGGACAATATAAAGTCTAGAACACATTCTAATTACATTGGCATTAATGGTTATTTCTGAAAATAAACTATTAACTTACTGTACGCTGTACGAATCTGTGAAAGACTTCCACGCGGAAGTTTCTTTAAAATGGTGCCAGTCTGAGTAGTTGACAACAGTCGTAAAAGCATACCTAAATACATGAAATACGAAGCTGCCGAAATATAAAAATGAAGTTGTGAACCAAAGATGAAATTAACGAATAACTGTTACCTCCGACCTCAACATCCAAAATTCCCTCAAATTAATCTTAAAAATATGTATTCTATCTTATATGAACACATGGAACGAGGGCCTCCCGAAGCAGAGTCCAAAACTCACAATAACAATCGCATTCACTTTAGAGTAATGTATTTCATGAATATATGCCGCCAGATCGCTTTTTTACAACATATATTCCTTGCAGCAGTGAGATTATGGTTATATTTATGTATCCAGCTAAGGTCTTAAGGACAACAAATTTATAGAAAGCAAAACATGCCAACCCAATTTTCAGTCTTTGATACCATTCTGAATCCATTACATTACTACACCAAGTACTAAAATTACTGAAAAATTTGCAACCTAATCTCCAGGTTCCAACAAAGACTGCCAAATACTTCTAGTAATATTGTGCTGGCAACTAAATTCTACCTACCTAGAATAGAGTAAAGTGAAAACCCATCAGTTCAATTAGACAACAATAAACCAATTTCTAGACTTCCACTCCCTTTTTCCCAATTATTCTGGAAGCACTAGAAAGAGGGATAATTTCTAGACTCTTGAGGTCACGACCACTTACCGAGGAGTTCACGGATATAGTTATTACACACTAAATGCACTTAGAATAAGTGCACTTAGGTTACTGATCAAGATTTATATGCTCCAATTTCTAGATATTTCAATCGGAACTTTCATTCATGGGCATTTCAAAAGTGCTGTCAAAAAGATATAGGATTTTCAGATTTGCGAGACCTTTATTCTTTATAAACACAACTTTTTAACGAACAAAAAATACTGGATTGCTTCTACCTAGTACGATTGTACTACGAGATCCATTCAGTGAAAAAAATTCTTATTATTACAATCACCTCCACATAAAACTAGAATACTGACAGGTCATTTTCTACAAGATCAATCTTGTATGATAATCATTGTTATCAGCACTCTGCCGCACTAACTCAAGCAACCAATAACAAAATAAGCGTAATATCATCTGGTTTGCCTCCAGGTGCATCAATTCCATGCCGCAACGCTTTAACAGCAAAAGGTGACAAATGTTGAGCATCAAATGCTAGTCTTCTGGCAGTAAGAGCTAAACTATTGCACGCTTTCTGAAATAAAATTTTTTGAAACAGATAACAAGCATGCCCTAATACTGCAATTTTTATAATATTTTTAAAGAACAAAACTAAATGTCATTCGAATATTGACAGATCAGACTTCCTACGATCTTATATCGCAAAATGTTATTCAAAAAAGATCAAAATTTATTAACTATATTTTCAGACACAAAAATTGATGGATAGTGATTCTTTTGGCATTTACCACACAATAATATTTCTCTTATATATGGTTAGGCAAAATACTATTATTACTAGGAAAAACAAACTTGCCTGCACATCTCCTGGTTTGAGACCTTTCAATTGCTTGACAATTTCATTTTCTGTTACATTATCCCATAAACCATCAGTTGCAAGCACAATGATATCACCAATCATTAAATCTAGCGAAGCTAGCTCAGCCTTCTCTGGAGAGTCGCCGAGAAAGCTACCATGAACTAAATGAAATTCTATTTGAAAAACTTGTTTTCTGCATCATTATAAAATAAAATTTAATTACAGATTAATAACTATTTCCAAAACTTGCACAACTTTATTTGAAATAGAAGCAATCATCATAAAAATAATAACCTTCATCTGCAGGAGGTAATGAAAGCTGATATGGAGCGTTAAAATAATGAGTCTGCTCACGACTACGATAGACTACCTTGCCATTTCGAATAACCAGATAACCAGAATCACCAAGGTTGGCGGAATATAATGTATCCTGATAAACAACAAGCACGCATGCTGTAGATGATCCCGTAGGACGTGGTGGCTTTGCAAGAGCTTCATAAGCTCGAGCCAACAATTTATCTGGTCGTGTTGGCTCAAAATCACCTGAAATCTAGTCATGTTGAAATTAAAAAACTATTATTTGGGTAAAAGTTTCTGACTTTTACCAACATTAATGCAAGTATTTCAAAATATTAACCCTTGCGTACTATCTTTCGACAAAGTTTCATTAAACGACTTGAAAATTCGGATGGATCGATACCATAATTGCGCCATCCACCAACGCCATCCGCTACACCTGATAAGTAACATCATCATGCTAGTAAATTATTTAGATAAACTAAAATAATATACAAACTCGCGGCAAAAAGTATTAGCTGAAATGTAAGTGCTACTTAATGGAATAAAGGTTTGCATTTTTAGTATTAGACATTGACATATAGACAAATACTGGTTTGTTCTTAGCCAAAAGACTCAAACGAATCTATTATTTGCTATTTATATGCAACTTTTTCATCTCTTACATGATGGGATATAAAAACACTATTGGTTCTTAATTTTGGTACATAAAATTTTCTTAATCACAAAAATTTGAATATGATGAAGTCTTTTTCAAAATTTCTTAAAATTTATCTTCATACCACAAAGAGAAAAAAAAACTGCACTCTTACCAACTACATGAGTATTCTCAAATTGTGCAATGAAGCAGGCATCATCACCAAATACACCTTGATCAAGTACAGTTGACGGTCCGTTTCTTAAATGCTTCGGAAAACCACAGCATGACGCATGTACATCTTTCACATTGTGATGATGAACCGAAGCAGAAGGTATATCTGCAGCGCAGTGAAAGCATCGATGATTGTGAAGACAACGACCTGATGTGTAGCAACGCTCAGCTGCACCAGCTGTTACCAGAGCACGTACAGCTAAAGTGCTGTAACGTGAAAGAAACTTTGTACGAATCATTGTAACATAACAACAATGATAGTATTCCTTTTCATAGACCAGTTATTACGAATGTCATGACACACGTTGTATGTACGATCCCTTAAAAACAAAAGTATAAGAAAAATACTTGAAGGAATCAGAAAACAAACAAAAAAACGCGATTAGACATATTTCTGCTGTTTGCAATCATAAAAAGTAGTAATTCTGACACTCTATCTACAAAAACAAATCTATCTGAACTAATTTTTTTCATTTGTTCATTTCTGAAAGCTATACGTATGATGATACGTATAGCTTTTAGAAATGGACAAATGCATTAAATGGAAAAAAACATTAATGTGATTTCCTTTTTTATTTTTCACGGGAAAGAAACGTAAACATAGAAAAGTAAATATAACGTATGACGTTCAAGAAAGTCTAACGATCAATCTCTATTGAAATTGAATACTACCGATGTCATATAATGCTCAAAAGTAGAGCTGGCCATAAAAAACTCAAATAACTACACGCTGAAATAAACAGAGAATAACAAACTGTGTATAGATTTAACGCAGAATTGTGGTAGTCTGCATGAAAATGTCATCCCAGTGAGGCGCTTACTATCGAGTTAATAAAAAAATTATTGGTATGCTCTGACTTGTATACTAGTTTTTGTTCTTGATTGCTGCACCTCTTCCTTTGTTTCTATTTATTTGCAAATCGTGCATTCTACTATTTATGTAAGGTATAGTATTCATATTATATTATAATATATTGTATTATATGTTACATTATATTAATTATTACATTGCATTATATGTATTATATTAATATTATATTATAATTATATTATCATCATATTGAGTCATGTAGCTCATTCTATTTTGACTCTGCACGCCCATTGTCGAGCATCTTTTCCACTTCATATATGCAGTTACTGATTTTTTCATCAGTGTAGTTCTACTATTTTTATGATATATTTGGAAAAAAATCCTGAAGACAAAACAACGAACAAACAACAATTCTTGGAATCGCAATTCAAATCAATTATTGTGTCGTATTTTCAGCATCATTTAATGTCTGGAAGGTTGGAGAAGTTTCGGGTTTGGACAGATGGAGATTTGCAGCCGTCATCCTCCGTTTCCCAACAGCAACAGTATCATCAGCAACAACAATCATATTGTGATATGGAACAATTTGCACTGCCTCACAAGTATTGGAATTTACAATCTTTTATTATTTAAAGTTTAATTTTGAGAAATATCAAAAAAAATTTTTGATTAGTTATAAAAAATGCAATCAATTCTATAATTTTCTATTAAAATTTTGTTTAGGGCTCGCTTGTATCAACTTTTCGAATGTATTGAAAAAGAAATTGATACTCTCTACGAAGAGAATTTCGAATGCAAGTTTTTAAATGTTTATGTAAGCTCAGTTTTCAGATAATCTTCTTTTACATTTATTTGTTTGCATAAATCTTTTCGAAAAAATATCCAACAAGATAAGCGCATTGTGCAAAAAATATTATTTCTTTATCCAGCTAATTGATCTCAAGGTGTACAGTTTAACAATTAAATGCTGTGCATTTATGTTCAATATTGTTAGCTAGAGTCACTATTGAGCACAAAAGCTGCATATGATAATGACTTTTTATGAAAATTTTTCCATTTTGATGTTGAAACAGGTGTGTGCTGATGTAAGTGACTGATTGAATCGTAAGTTATTTTTGACTATTGTGTGCCATGCAAATGGAAGTTTGTTTCATTTTTGAAATCATAAATCTGTTTTTACTTGAATAGTCAAAGTTATCTGAGTGCTGATGGCAGTTATGAAAAAAAAAACTCACTGATCTTTACCTAATTGTAGTACACACGAAGTTAAATCAGTTAAGTGAGCGGTTGGGTGAATCCCTTACATTGTCACATGACATCTGTTCTTCTCCAAGCGATCCACTATCAGCCCGCAAAGAAGCTGTTAGGAAAGGTACATTACTTGCCTTCAGAAACAACTCTGGAAAAATATTTTGTTTTTAGTTACATCCATGGTTGTCTCATAGCATTGCAGTAGATTTTAATACTGACTATCTTACTTCATTTCACTATCCACTATTTTTATAAAAATTACTGAGTAACTGTTCACATTATCAATTTTATTCGGTTTCAAGCATTCACTGAAAGATCATGTCATTTGTCCATTAATGCTAAAGTAGAATAAATCATATGCATATTAAGATGAGTTAAAATTTCCTTCTGTAGAGTGTTTTATTATTTGATATTCACACTGGCTGAAGTTGGTTCATTCGTGCCAGATAATGCAACATATTCTAGGAAACCAAATGCGTCAAAAATTAAAAACTGCTTTGCGTGTACCGCCCGGTCGTCTAGTGCAAAGCCTTAAAGTTGTTGGAGATAGCTCACGAAGATGTAAATACGTACGCTCGTTCATTGGACATCGGGATGGAATTTGGCACGTAACTACAAATCAGGCAGGGCATCCAATTTTAGCAAGCGCGTCTGCAGGTATGTTCTTATTTTATGTAACTCTGACTTATCTTTTCTGGTTAGTAATTTAAAAAGATACAAGGTTTTATTTTCATAAGATTTGATTTTTTTTAAAGTCTGTGTCGAAGTTAGATTTGTAATAAATGAAATACATTTCTTCATTATTATCATTTGATTTTATTTGTTTAAGATCAGACATGTTTGCTATGGTCACTGGAAACAGGTTGTTGTTTGACACAATATGCTGGCCATGTTGGCTCAGTAAATGGTGTTGCTTTTGGGCCAGCCACATTAGATTCAAATGAATTATTACTCGCTACAGCCAGTGGAGATCGAACTGTCCATATTTGGAAAGCAGTCGTTACGGGTTACTTCTTTTATCGATTTCTACATGTAGAGAGTTTTCTTGATATTATGATAGTAATTTATGTTTTGTAATTATTTTGCAGTAACGTATTCCCTTTTATTTATATTTTTTCCATCTGTTGTGCTTAAAACTATTTTCTGTTTGTATGACAGTTTCAGGCAACATTCAAATGCCAGTGTTGAGTAGTGAAGATGATGAATTAGCTGAAAAGGAACAACTTATGAATGGAGTTATAGACGTACAAGGTAAATATCTATTTTCAAATTTGTAAAAACCACAGTAGTTTTTTTGATTTGAATTTTAGCTCATCCTTTCATTAAGGCAGTGGAGAACTTCATACATCAAATGTTGTACGACAGCCAGTACAGCGTCTAACAGGACACATTGGTCCAGTATTGGCTGTCGAGTGGTTTAATAATGGTGAACAGCTTATTACGGCTAGTTGGGATAGAACTGCCAATATTTATGATGCTGAACGAGGGGAAATTGTAAATGTTTTATCAGGTTCGTGTTAACGCCTTTTTTTTCTAAAGAGGTGCATATTTATCTATAGAAATTCTCGCTGAAAAATTTTGGACTAATATGTAAACTCAGATGCATTTCAGATATCAAGCGAAAAAAGAGTTTTTTAATGTTTTGCAGGACATGATGATGAATTAAATTATTGTAATGCTCACCCGTCGCAGAAATTAATTGTTACGGCTAGTCGTGATTCCACTTTTCGTCTTTGGGATTTTCGAGAAACAATACAGTCAGTCGCCGTGTTTCAGGGACACAATGAGTATAGTTCTCCTCTGTTATTTTTCACTCTCATTAGAATCTGTTTTTTTTTTCAGAAATGATTTCTCAGAATTTACATAAGCTATTTTTCAGTTCTGTAACATCAGTAGTTTTCTCTTCTGGAGACAAACTTGTGTCTGGCAGTGATGATCGATCTATAAAGGTTCAATTTAGCTTATCAAACAGTCTTAGAATATTGAATCTGAAATTTGCTTTAATTCATAAATTTCTTTTCTCATTTAAAGAGAAAGTATTTTACATAGAGTGTTTTACATTCATAAAAAATAAAAGAAGTATTTCACGTTCATATTTATCATACACTTTAGGTATGGGATTTGCGCAATATGCGTAGTGCCATTGTAACGGTTCGCGTTGATAGCGCTGTAAATCGACTGTCGATCTCTGCGCGAAGTGTTGTTGCTATTCCACAAGATAATCGCAATGTTAGATTATATGATTTAAATACTGTTCGATTAACAAGGCTTCCGCGTGCTACTGGACGAGTAAGATTGTTATTTCAACAATTTTGTAGGAAAAATCCTGAAGATACTTTATTACGTTCTTTGTTTTCGAGAATGAAATAAAATAATGGTTTTTATTTACTTCCTTCTGTTGCTTAACTTGTCTTAATTAATTTTTTGTTTTGTATTTAATTTTTTAAAGTCTATTTCTGTTGTATGATTTGCACTGAAATGCAGTTAAGTAAAAATAAATATTCAATAAAACTTCAAATTGCAGAAATTTTTCTTGCAGAGTCATCGACGTATAGTTTGTTGTGCAGCCTGGATAAATGATCACCTGAATCATGACTTATTGACTTGTGGCTTTGACAGGCAAATAATTGCCTGGAAGACTGCTTTTGGAAAGGACTAGATTTCAGTCTATGATTTTATATTTAGCTTACTGATTGTTGCTTTTCTGTAATCATAGGAATCAGTTTTTTGGTATGCATTCTTTTTTCTTAAAAAATGTTTGAAATAAAAATTTTCTCGACACGAACAAGTTTTTTAATGCATGTTTTTCTAAATTATTTTTTACATGACTGAAGTATTTCTTATACACCTCTAATTTGTTTCAAAGAGTATTTCATCATAACTTGCTTGTCTTGCTCTAGTTTTATTTTCGGTATCCAAGTCCACAAATACTTTGGGCTAATTTTCAGTTTCTTGAGCTTTTGAAAATAGAAGTCATTATGATTTGTGATCTATAATTCCATGCATTTGTTTAAACTGCTTGAGAAAATTCGACTTAGGAAAATAATAAATTATTTACTAACTTCGATAATTAGTGTATTTACTTGTATTCAGTATTTGAATTTTGGTGTCTTCAAATTTTGTTTTCAACTTGTCAATAGTTTTTGTAAAATAGCACATTGGTTATGCAAGACATCCTTCTAAATCATCAAACCTGTTAGTTTTTGTGGTGATGTAAAATGTTTTTGTTGTTCATTGTGTGAAGGTCTTTATTTTCTAAATAAATAATTTAGTCTGGAATTTAGTTAACAGAGAACTTAAAGTGACCTCGACTTAGAGAAGGAAAAGAAACATGCGGGAACATTAACCTTCCTTTGTAGAAGGTAAAGCGTAACCTAAGGTAATCAGAGATCATAACTTTCATAACGTGGGATTTGAGCTTCCTAACCTATTTTGGGGTTGTTGAGTGTGTTTCATGTGCCGTATACAGATCATTTTGATGCTGCTGCGTACTTGTCAATTTACTTTAAAAAACTACTGGAGTTAATATCGCCAAAAGTTTTTTTGACGATAACTAGTAGTTTTTCCGTTTGTTTGGATAAATTTGAATTCTGACACTTCCCGAACTTATTTTGTTCAGTTCTAATTTGTCCATCTTTGCTGATAATGGAGTACTAGTAGATTTACTATTTATTCTTCATCATCATTCATGTTGTAACCGGTTAAAAACTTGAAAGTCATTTGTAATCAAAGAACTTGCATAAGTATTCAGCACAGTGATTAAATAAATGTTATCAGCTATTAATGAGCAGGATAAAATAAGAATTTTGTCTTTAATAGCAGTCCTTATTTTTATCGCAAGTCAGGATTTGCTTATAATCTCAATATTTTAAATAAGTATTCTGTGTACCGCTTATCATTTTATTTAATCGTTTTATTATTGAAAAATAGGGCAGTTAAAAAATGAAATAGCCTCTCAATATTATTTATTTACAGTTTATTATTCCTGTAATTTGTCTTTGAGCAAACTCATCACTAATTTGTAAATATTTTCACATCTCGAAAGTTTTTGTTTTGAATGCAAGGAAGGGTTTTCATAGAAATAAAAAATTGTTAGGCCTAAAACATTATAATTTACTTTCTGTTAAAGCACTTAATATGCCTTATTTTCCTGCTAAAAAATCAAGTATGGATTGAGTTTTTTTGATATTTATTTCAGATGAAGTAGTATTCCCTTAAATGCAACATCACTATGTTTCCCTGAAAGAATTTTTGTTTTCTGTAACAGCATTTCAAATATGATTGAATATAAAATAAATTTGAAGAGCTAAATTTTAAATTATGAATATTGCTTACAAAATTAGCAGTTGATCAGAAGTAGCTTTCATTTTTTTCTTAATCTTTTCAATCTTTTAATCCCAGTGCTTCTGATTGGCTGTGAAAAATAGATTATAAAAATAGCTAAGTAAATTGAATAGACATTTTATGTGCTCTTGAAATCTTTTCTTCACGCTTAGTAGCGTGGTTGAAATTTTTTTTCAATTTTAGATGGCAAATGTTGAAAGTGAAAATTTGTGAAAGTTCTGAAGAGTTTTCTTAGTTTTAATTTTCGTCACTTTGTTATCAATTTTTCAAGAAGAAAAACTAATTATACTACTGAATTTTAGTAAAATTTTTCAAGAATCTGATTTTTGTTCATGTTTACTTTGTTTTGCAAAGTGTTGAATTTGAAAAGAAAATATTTTTTATGTAAGTATGAATCAAATTGCTACTTTCACAAGTTTACATGCTTATTACAGATAGTAGAAGACGAATTTTACTGCTTGATTGGATGGAAAGAAAAATTAGAATCTTTCTGAGCAAAAATTTCCTCTTGACTTTCACGCTTAATTTTTGCGCTCAATATTCAGTTAATACGTAATGAAATTACAGAAGATTGAAGATATTACATATTGCTGAATATTTTTTCAAAATTTATAGTTGGCTTCAAAATCGAAATTACTAGATATAAATTATTAAAGCAATTCAAATAAACTTTTTTAATACATTAAATAAAAATGAATAAAACTAAATTTTTAATTCATTTTGCTATAAAAAATAAAGCAAAAAATGGTATTAAATTTTGAATTTTTAATCACTCTGAAGTCGCAATAATGCTATATGTGTTGTGTTCATATGAAAAGTAGAGAGTGTGTTTTATAAATTGTTTCGGTTTTTATAGTTCATTGCAATAATTTGTTCAAAAATAAATTTATGCATTTAGAAAGTCTTTCGATTCATTTCACCTTCTTCTTTATTTATGGGAAAGAATTGTTTTGCCTTGAATTCGGGATTTTGATTTTACGTCTAAGCTCGGAAAAGTCATTTAGAGAATGGATGGATATTCGTAAATGCTTTCTTTTTTTGATCACTTAGTACTTACCTTCAGCAAGTCTATCAGTAAAATTAGTTTGCTTATTTTCACATTTATTTTTCATTCTTTAATCAATTATGGAAGACATACTTAAACAAGTAATACATTATTTTTATCACTACCAACGCAACGCAGCATTCATAGCATTTGCTGTGTACTGAGACTAAACAAGACTTAGCTTACTTGCATCCTACAAGTCAGTCAGACGTGAAATTCTATTATTTCCATTTCTCTATGCTTAATTCTGTCGTTGAATTTTGTTTAGTCACTGATAACTTGCTGAATTTTTGATTTTTATCTATTAGTGTGCTGCTTAAATTTGAGATAGCGTCTTGAATTCATGCAAAAAATAAATTCGATCCAAAGATTTTTTATGCTATCAGAAGTAATAGTAATATTAATGTCAAGTGATGCTAAGCTAGTAATGCTTAACAGTCACAAATGTTTGAATATTATAATAATGCTTGCTATCTATGTGTACGATTGATATTATCATTTCGAAGTTATCTTTTATTGATAAAAAATGGTCCTGAAATGTGAGCTTGAACTTTCGTGCTTCCTAGCCTATAATGGTCTTGATTGTTATTTGCCAGTAACTTATTTGACTTTTAATGATAGTGTAAAAAATATTCAAAAAGGAAATAAATTTTTAGCATTCCGTCTAATAAGCGAAGCAAAATTAACCATGCATTTTTGCTTAAGATTATTCTGCCACTTAAAAGCATTTTTATAATGTTTCTCCTGTAATGTAATGTCATTGAATGGATATTAATTGCAAATTAAAATTACTTTTAGTCGTTTTTATTCCAAAAGTATTAGTGCTTCAAGTTTGTACTACAAGTTTTTTTATCTCTTAACGAAAATTAATATTAAGGGCGGAATTCAAAGTGTAAATTATCAAATTGTTATAATTTGTATTTCAGTTAGTCTATTAATAATTACTCTATTATATAGTGATTTTTTGCCTTCAACAAGTACGAATTAATTAATTAACTGAAACAAATAAGTTTTTATTTGCAACATTTTGTTTGATAGAAATAATAATTTTTATGCTCAAAAATTGTTATGTAAATCAGTAAAGATTTTTTCACTTAACACTACTACATCCAAATAACAATAGCATTTTTCTAATTTATTATACTTAATTCTATTTTGCAACTTTACTCATTATATTTTATTTATTATATACATTGCCATTAATAATAATTTTATCACAAATAGAAACAATCAAAATTGTCGCTTTCATTGCTTGATGCTTTCTTTGCTTCCTTATTGAGACACTGAAAGTTGCGAGTAAAGAGTAAGTCCAAAGTGACGATATCACTCTTCGTTAGGCCCTTTTTGGAAGTTCATCCTGCCTCTTCACTTTACACTTTTAATATTCGAGTTAACCCTCTAAGTTAGGATTCAGTGCTTTGTTGTTTGCTAATATTTAAATAAACTTTGAACTGTTCTTTAAGTAATGCCTTTCTAATGTCACGTCCTTCATTAAATGCTGCATTCTAAGTCTTCCTTTCGCTACGATTAGTCTTTTAATTTTGAGAGCAGCTTCAGCTTAAGATTCATCTTTGATTAATTTGTCTGCTGATACAATTTAATTATCCTTCTCTTTTGTTTCTTAATTACCAATATTAATGATAGAAACAATAGTAACGGTGATATAATTACCATATTGTTGTAAATATTAATATGTAATAACTGCATTTTATCATTATTATTATTATTATTATTAATTATTATTATTAATTATAATTCTCATTATGATTGTTGTCATAATTAAGAGTATTAATAACTGAAAAATTAAAAATTATTCATCTAATTCTCAATAGATGTTGCATGAAGTTTTCTTCACGACTATCAAACTGTGTTACATTTCGTTATCAATTTCTTCGTGCTTTTCTTGCTCGATAACCAACCGACTGATTAATCATATTTTTTGTCAGATTTACTGTTGCAAAATGTAACAGAGTTTGATAGTCGTGAAGAAAACTTCATTAATAATCCTGCGAAGAATTTAAACATTTGGCCTTTCATTTACTGCAAGTGTCTGATTTTTGTAAATTGCATAAATATCAAATAATTTAAATAATCGTAATTTAATGACTGACTTCTGCAATCAGTGGGAGAGATAATAAAGCGATGCATTCTACAGAAGAATTTGACTTCTCTTTTTTTAAAGTTATATATGTATATTTGACTTTGACTTCTCCATAATTAAATCATTAATAATCCTGCGTAATTCCAAGTGATTACAATGTAAATCAATCTCCTAAGTGCACTTTTCATTAATAAATATTTTCATGTTGCTCTAAAAACCATACTTACGTAAGTACTCAATTATTAAAATCGAAAACATTTTTGTCGCTCTGATGACCTGCAACCTTTCAGTTATAAGTCTAATTTGAATGTCGACGTTGTTTCGGACAAGCCAAAATGACGATGCACTTAAAATTAGTCAAAAATATGATATGCTTTAAAAATTGAATAAAAGTAAAAATAACTGAAGTAATTGCTTACATTCACTGAACTGCTTGCTTGCCTTCACTCGCAATAACTTAATTTTGTGCAAAAAATAATAAGTGTAGTTGTAAGTAAGTAATGTAACGCTTTTATCCGCACTTTTTCACTGCTTGCTAAGAAATGGAGCAGTGGACAAGAAGAATGCCATCAGCATTCTTTGTGGACAAGAAGGATGCCATCAGCGTTCTTTCTGTGTTCGATAACTGAACTCGTTTTTTTCCTTCCACAATCTTTTCTTAAAATAAGCAAAAAAAAGATCGCAAAGATGTTCGCGCTCCTCACGCCACAACTGCGTCAAATGTACTCAAAACACACAATTGAATGCCAGACAACTTATGCAACTTGTCTGCTATACAATAATATCATCTAAAGTTTATTTAATATATAAAAACACACAGATCATTTAGCATTCAAAAAATGATCTTTCTACAATAAATAACACTTACATCACTTCTTTGCATTATTTTTTCGCATTAGGGCATTAATAATGCAATAAAAACATTTTCGACCTTTCTTATACCAATTGGTGACCATTTAAGTACATCAGTATTAATGTCATGTCGAAAATGAATGGGCTGGCCTTATGTCAAGAAGTCGTATAGAATCTCGCATCATTTGAAATTTACGTACAATTAGCTTTGTGCTTGAAAGTTTTTCATTTCAATTTGGGCAAAAAGGACTAAATTTTGTGCACTTTTAATAAACTCAAACTTTATTAATATATCGAAATATGAAAAAAATCACTGATCTGTTGATTATTATTATGCAAATTATGTATGTATAAATTTGTGCCATTTCATCGAGTTGATAATTCAATTTTACATGACATTATTATTTATAATTTGAACACTTTGCATCTTTTTAACCAATTATTTCTGATGTGTTTCAGGCTTTTTCAGTTTTGTATAATGAAGAGAAATGCTGGCTGAACGTTGCATTTTTGTGGGCACACGAACCAATATTGGATTCAGAGTACTTCAATTGTGTAATTAACTATACTGCTGACTATATATTGGTACTGCACTGATAATTTGAAGAAAACTAAGAATATTTCTTAATTAATTACTACTACTTTATGCTTGATGCTTGGTGCTTGGTGCTTGGTGCTCGGTGCTCGGTGCTCGGTGCTTGGTGCTAGGTGTTTGATGATTTCTATCTGTACTGAGTTTGTAATATTTTGAAGACTAGCATAGTGCAGAAATAGCAGCAGTGACTGAAGAATTCAAGTTGAAGAATTAATTAACACAAAGCACACAATGTGTTTCTCAAGCGAAAATTGAGAATGTATTCGAAAATAGGCCAATTATTAATTATAAATGTTTTGTGCAGCAAAAACAATTGGGTTTTTTTGTTTTTTGTTTTGGAATGGCAAATAAAAGAGTTTGCTCTTCTCTTAGATGAGTTAGTTTATTCAAATTTTGACCAACAGAGCTAGGCTAGAAGTATAAAAGTGACTGCTTTAAAGCATTCATCAGAAGTTTTCTCGTCCATTGGTCAAACTGTATAGACTGAGGTAACAACTGGTTAAAAAGAAGAGAAAGCTTGCTGAAAAATCTGCAATACCTCTTGTCTGTTTAAAATGTGGCAAAATGATGGCATGTTTGATAAGCGAAGAGTGAATGGAACTGAGAATGACGGAAGGAAGCGTTTAGGCTTTAGTAGCAAAAGCCTTTCAGAGACAGCTCGAGAGAGGCCTAGCGTGTTTGCCCGTTTTCGAATTTCGCCTAGTCTTACTCACTTACGTTGTTGCTGTTGGCCTTGCAAGCCTTGTCACCGTCGTTGTCGTTGCCGACGTCATCGCCAGGTCAGCTTGACAAGAGCAAGTACCACACTTTCCTCTGTTCCGGAAACGATGTGCCTCATTCCTCCGTCCTTTTCCACTTCAACGATGTTTTCTACTGATCAAAATGATTGCAATCTTCAAATCCCTCTCATCGCTTCTACTTCATCTCCTTCACATTATCTTCCAATTTGTACCGATAATAAACGTCGTAAGTTTTACACAATTTTATTACTTTGACCTCATTTGTTACAGTTCTACTATTTCTTTCACTTGTGTGCCACTGTACAAATAAATCCTTCAGCTGCTCTCTGACCTGTATCACTAAATTACACTGCAAACATGCTTGTAGTTTAATAAATCTTACTTAATTGCTTTTACCATCTATCATTATTATTATTATCCTATTATTATTATTATTGTAATTTTTTTCTGCATCTATTTAAGCTATCGAAAGTTGAAAAATTAGGCAATTTTGTGCTGGAAATTAAAATTTGAAAAGTTAGGCTATTCATTACTCAAGAATGGTCTTTCGAAAACCTTATCATCACAAGCATTTATGTTTTGATTAATCTGCACTGAGTTTACTTACAAAAGTAATTTGTCGGGAAGTAAGTCGATGCTTGAGGGATCTCAGTTTGGTCAATTCTTAACAAAACAGTGCGTCAATGTCCACCGAAAATCACTTTCGTAAACTTTTTCTACCTTAAATTTTGCACTGAGAAGACATTTCTCAGTTTCTTCTATTATAGTAAAGTTTTTTTTTGCACTGCTTTCGATCTTTAATGAGTCTAACATAGACTTTTCTTTTGCCAACAGATATCCTTCAACAATTCCTAAGCATTTGTTTGGTTTTGAGATATAACCAAAGTATTGTGTCATGTGTGATTAATGGAAGACTTATTTGCAGTCATAAATATTATCACTGAATTTTCAACTGCAGAATTTATTTGCTGCGTCAGAATAATCTCATATTTTTGATGTTACATTTTTTGAGCAACAAATATATTTGCAATAAATGATCAAATTTTGAAATTTTTTCAAATATTTGAAAAAAAATTGTTCACGAAAACTGTGTTATTTTTTAAAATTATCTGATATTATTTTTGTGATGGCAAAACTTTTTAAAAAGAAAGCAAGTTTTTTTTAGTAAATTTCAAAAAATTCAACAAAAAAAATGCATTACTTTTTTTACAGTAATTTTTGTTTTTAGATTAACTTTCATGTTAGCAGATGTATTTAAACCTCAATTTTATTCTTCACAACTATCAGCGAAAAAACAAATTACAAGAGCTGAAGTATTCATTCGGTGCTAAATACTCCGATATGACTGCTAAATTTGTAACAAATAAAACTTAGGATACTAACAGAAATGCTTACTTAAGTAATGGCAGTTTTGAAGAACTTAAATGAATTAAAATTAGTACTGTTGTCTTTATGCAATATTTTAGAATATTATTCGAGTAAAATTTGGCTCACTACAGATTTATACTTATTTCACAGCTTTGCATTTAACTACTGAACATTTACTTAGCTGTCTAATGAGACGAACAGAAATAAAAGTTATAGAAGTCTTTGAAAAAATTTTATAAAATATAATTTTTTCTAAAATGCCAGTCTGTTTTCTTCTTCTGTGCAAAGAAATGTTGGAAGAAAATTTGTGAATAAATTATGCATTTGATTTGCATTTAATTAAAATAGCAAATGTTCTTTACAATTTTTTTAATTGAATTAAATTTTATACGCAGTTTTATTAACTTTTATATAAATTTTGAATCCATTGTAGCTTATTATTTCACTTGCAAAGTATCCTGAAGTAAAAAAAGATGGTTATTTTGCAGTGCGCAAGTTATCCGAAGTGCTTTTCGGTGCAGCTCAAGGCTATGGACAAGCTAGTAAGTTTGATTTTGCTTTACTTCTTAAGTTATATTTCATTCTGATTTTGTAATAACCTTTTTTATTAAAGAATCAAATTGAAAAATAACTTGAAAGAAGTGCTTTTTTAAAAAAGTAGGGAATCGTTCCTTAAGACAAATTTCTCTTTTTCTCGTATAACCATTTAAATTCGATTGATTTTTTTCAAATTTCATTATTTTTGATCAAAAAACTTTTTTCAAATTAATTAAAGACAGTTGTAAATTGTACTCGCTTGAAATATGAATGTTGACAAATGTCTTGAATATTTTTTAAATGTTGTTAAGTTGTAATAAAAAGTAAGTAAAAGACTTGGAAGATTATCTTAACCAGTGAATTTAGTGTAAAAAGTAATGAAAATGTGTTTGATAATTCAAACTTTGCATTAAAACTCATGTCTTGTACAGTAAATTATCTTTCTTTTTCACTTTTATGCTTTTGAATATCTGATTCATATCTTTAAATTTATAAATTAAAAAAAAAAATTCTCTTCACGTGCCTTGCTACTAATACTGCACTTTATTATAATAAGTCATATCAAATTTTGTTTCGGATTCTGACTTAGACTTGGCTTTGACTGAAATTTAAACTTAGATTTTGTTTTAGATTATTATTCAACGCAGCGTTTTAGTGATAGAAATATTAGAACAGCTAAAATAAATTCAAACGAATAAATAAATTCAAATTCTCTTCACGTTGCTAGCTTACTTGTCTAGAAAAGAAGATCAAAATGACTGCTTTACAATAGAAATTACTTGCTGTTTATTAAAAGACATACATTATAAGTATTTGAATA